GGCACGGGCGCGCCCCCGGCACACGCGGGGCCGCGCACGCACTCGCCCACCCACCTTGTAGTAGTCCGCGGGGTCCACGGCTGAGTGGCACCTGCCGAAGGGCGTCTCCGCCTTCTTGAGCAGCGAGCACCAGTGCTCCGCGTAGTTGGCTGGAGGGGGGCGCAGCCTCAGCCGGGCGCCCCCCACGGGCACCTAGTCGCCGGGCAGGGGCAGAGCCCCCCTGTCCCCAGCGCAGCCCTTCCCGCCCCGGCCGGCCGCTGCCCTCGGGGACCCCTGGCCTCCCAGCGGCTGCTCCCGGCAGGGGGAGGGGCCTGCGGGCGGGCGCACCACCCGCCACTCACCGCTCTCGATGTTGAGGGAGCAGGGGTCGTCCAGCCAGTCCAGCTTGTCGTGGCAGGTGGCCTGCACCTTCCAGGTGTTGGCGAAGCCAGCCCCGGTGGCCTCCACCAGCCCGCCCGCGGTCTTGAAGTCATCGCTCTCCAGCCCGTTGAAGTTCCCACAGAGGCCTGGCGGCAGAGCCGAGCATTGGGAAGGGCCGGCCGGGTGGGCGCGGGACACAAGGGCTCTGGCGGTCACTCACCCTGGACGCGGCCCTGGGCAGTCTGGTCTATGGTCACGAAGAGCTGCATGATGGGCACTAGCTGCACCTGCAGCCTCAGGCCGAAGGTGGTGCTCACAATGATGTGGTAGGACGAAGGGCGGAAGATGGAGAAGGTCGCTGCAAGGCAAGGCTGTGAGGTGAGCGCGGCCGCCCCGTCCCGGCCGGCCCCCACTCCTGCCGGCCGGCCGGCCGCGGCTCACCGGTGACGTGCGGCAGGTTCACCTCCAGCTCGTTCAGCAGCACACTGCCGTCGGACTTGAAGGCCACCACCTGCAGGAGAGGCCAAGGGGACATGGGGCTCGGGGGGCCTCGGGGGGCCCGGGCCTGGGGATGTGGGCGGGGCGGGCAGGCTGGGCACCCACGTTCTTCTTCCGGTCCGCCAGCAGCACCACCGTCTTCAGGCAGGTCTGCTTGTCCGTGGAGCCGCAGGGCGCCAGCTCGCCCAGGAGGGCGTAGGAGTCGTTGTGCTCGCCCTGTGAAGAGCCCCGGAGGTTGTGCGGCCGCTGGCCAGGCCACTGCCCAGGCCATTGCCCAGCCCGCCCCCGGCTGCCGGCCTACCCTGGTCAGCAGGTAGTAGCAGTCCCCGTGGAAGGTGTACTTCTTCCCATCGAAGGTGGTGATGTGGGAGCCGCCCTCCAGGGCGCAGGTCCCCGGGCACGGCAGGTCCTTGCACACCCAGCGGCCAGCTTGGCAGACGCTGATGCAGTGGGCAGGGTGGAGGCTCAGCGGCCCCGGCCCGGCCCC